ATAAGTTTTGCTTCAGTGACACATAAATTATGTATTACCTATACAGGGTGTTTTTTAAAAATCTCCTTTTTTAAATTCACCGTAACCAAATTTTATCAAATGGCTACTTTTCATTGGAACATCCTGTATGTTCCACATAGATTTTTAAATTGCACATAATACTACCTATCAACGTTTTCTAAAAATACTAAATATGGCACATTAATCGCCCAAACTCGATAATTGTAAACGATTGTATGTAAATAAACCGTTAATTCAAATTCTGTTATTTTTTAATTGTAGGTGAGCCAATGTCAAGTACAAAAACATTCCTGAAGATTATCTAATATTTACAACTGAATGTGTAAAAAAATATTAACATCTATATGTTATAATAATTATTGCATATCAACATGATGGAATATTTTTCTACATATATGTAAATATACGAAAATAAACATTTAGGTAGTAAGTTATAAACTCAAACAAAGTAAATAGAAGAATTTATCATTAATAACCCTGTTTCTAGATCATATAAATATTGTATTACCTAAATGTTTGGTAACTATTTAAATATAATAATTGCATTATTATTATCTATTTTAATCATATCGAGATAGATATATTAGGCTGGTTTTATGCATTCCTTTTGTGAACGTCCGTTCGAAAACAGACGTATCTAGTTCTATTGAAATAAATGTGCCGCTTTATGCACGAACAAACGTTCGTGAGGAACGTCTGTTCGCTAGATACCTGCGTTCGGTATTTAAATTGTGTGTTTCGAAATGAAAGTTTCTTTACTTTAGGACCGATTCCACCGTTGTGTTAAACGAAGTTTGAAATGACATTTTTACATTAACAATGTCATTTTAATCTCCGTTTAACATAACGGTGAAAAGAGTAAAAGGAGTCTACCCCCCGAACTCAGCACTGTGTCTCCACTCCTGTGGAACCTGATCATGGATGGGCTGCTTCAGACTTTCAAAAATAACGCACATAAAATATTGGAATATGTCGATGATCTAGTAATCATGGAACAGGGTAAATGCACTATTACAATTATACATCATATGCAAGAGGCTCTAAAGAGAAAGAGGGACTAAAACTGCTAAACCTCCGAGATGAATACGTCCAACTAAAGGGGGAAGTAAAGTATCTCGGGTTTACAATTGACTCGAAACTTACCTGGACTCAATATTTGGAAAGAACAACAAAGAAAGCGAAAACATCACTAGTGATGCCAAGACGCTCCTTTTAAAAAAATGGGGCCTGAAACCAGATAAACACAGAGATACGAGTCATGTCCATGATAAGTATGCACAGCTCTGAATTAAATCCAAACTGACACTTAAAAAGAAGAATAATTGTACGCTCGATACCCGTGCCTACTTTAAAAACATTTTGTTGTGAACCACTATTTAGGGTGATTACAGCATCCCTTATAATTTTCGTATAAGGATATCTCAAAAAGTAATTTAATAAAAAATTAAAATTTTGGCAAAATAAATTAGGCAATAATATTTAAAATATGCATATATTTTAAAGTTTTAATTCCTATCAGTTTCCGAGAAAAATAGGAATTTAAATTTTAAAATATCATAATGAAAAAAAAAAAATGCATTCCTCAACAGCACTATTGTTAATATAATCCCCAAACTTTAGCTCTAAACATCTTAATGATTTTTTAAAATACGCCAAAATTAGTGGCTAAAACACCTAGTTAAGTATTATCTTCTGTTGTAAACTAGTGTAAATCGTTGCAAGAAACGAATGATGATTAAGAGTGTACGATACGATAGTTAGAGGCGCGTTACACCAGAAGGCAGCACTTAACGAGGGGTTTTAGTCACTAATTTTGGCGAATTTTAAAAAATCATTATATTAAGGATAGTGCTGTTTAGGAATGCATTTCCTTTCATTATGATATTTCAAAATTTAAAGCTCTTTAATTTTTTTTTTTCTAGGAAACTGAAAGGAATTAAAAGTTTAAAATATGTGCATATCTAGATAATATTACCTAATTTATTTTGCCAAAATTTTAATTTTTTAACAAAATTACGTTTTGAAATATCCTTGTCTGAAAATGATATGTTCACCTTAATAGTTTGGTACTATAAATTGACGCAAGGTAAACTATTAAAAAAATTTAATTTATAATTGAAAAAGCTTGCAAAAGAACAAAATATATTTAAACGCATAACTAAACTTTCTTACTTATTTGGTTTTTACTCTGTACTTTTCACTTTCGCTTGCAATAAGTAGCTACTATCAGGGCTTGTATATCTAAGGGGGTCGCGACATAGGAGTCCATTTTGGGCGCTATTTTTTTCGAAATAGTAGTCGCCCATTGATCTGGCAACCTGTAGTCGCCAGGCTTGCCAATATAAGAAAAAAAATCTATGTCTTTTTTTAAATGACATTTTCATTATAAAATGCCCATATTTTTTAGGATAAAATATTTCTATTTAATAAATTATTAATAATCTCACATGTACATAGAATACGTCGTGAAAAGTAGATCACTTTCACTTTTGTGCTGTTTTGGTTTGGTTTATTTTAAAAGGTAATTGAAGAGATGAAGACAATTTTCGTATAGATGAAGACGCATAACAAATTATGGCGTCCTTTTTTAGAGCTCCAGCCCCCTAAGTCTATTTATTTTAGGTCTTTTTAAATTGTTGGTAGGTATTATTCACTTCATTTGTATGTTTTTATTTAATTTAAATAATTTTGTGTAATATCTTGCGATTTGTTTTCTATACATTTTAGCATGTATTTATTGGCTACATCTTACAAAGGATGGCTTTGAAATACCTTTACAACGGAGGTACTTTCCTAAAACTGGCCGAAATTTGAAACTGATTACAGTTCTTAGAGAAAATCTCCAGTAAAAAATGTCTACATGTAGAATAACAGTAGCATAGATTAACAAAGCTGACAAAAGAGTTGGACAAACCTTTGTCTAGCTTTTTAATATTTCAGGACAATAGTATTAACAGCAGACCACAACAAGAACAACCAAAGTTTAGTAATCAAGCAAAATATTTCAGTATCTCCAGAATTTTATTATAAACTTATGAAAACTATAATAGGAAACATGTATGGCTTCGAATAGGAAATTACCTAAATTAGCATATCTAGTGAATATTGTATTTAAAGAATATATTTTTAATCAAAATTTTTGTGCTTCTACTTCAATACTAACCATATAGAAATGCATATGCATTTTATAGTATTAAGCAAGATTCGGATCAAATGTACCCACAATTTATAAACATTATTAACCTAAAATAAAACATTTCAAATAACACCTGTTAAATACATAAATTAGTCTCAACCACACATTTTTTTTTGTTTTTACTTCTAGTGTAAAAGTGACTACTAATTCACAGTCTTTCAAGTTTATTATTTAAAGAGACCAGCTACTACAAAATATCCTCTTTAATAATGGTTTTGCATTTATCAACATTTTACAGCACTGTTTATATGAAACATCTATTTAGCTCTTAATTTAATCACATTTAAATCAAGTAATTACATTTTCATATTCAACTTATGTATCCATTCAACAAACCACCAACTTAGTCACTTAAAAATGTTAAAAGAGAATGTCATAAAGGTAAAATTCCTTCTTCTATGATGTTTTCCATGCAATTTTAGGTTCTAAATGTTTTGTCCAACACCTTTTTTACAATTTATCCCAAGCAACACTATGAAAGATTTAAATCCTGGATTTACAGTATTCAGTTTTAAGATGAGTGCAGTCACAATGCAGTTTCAGAGATAATTTTCACATGAACTTATTTACCACAGCACAAACGCATGTACCTATTCATGTAACATTAAAATAAAGTGGAAACAAATTGCATAATTTGGTATATAAAAAAGTACAAAATGTTTTTAGTTTTAATTCGACTACGAGGAAAGCAGTGGTTCATTCCATTTGTACCATATTTGCATTATTATGCACGATGCACGTTAAAAGTAGATCTGTCTCTGTTTTTATAATACTATTACGGCAGGACAAACGATAACCGTTGATTTTGCCAAACGAACATCAGAAAAGTGTTGCCAACTTAAGCTGACTACTATTTCCCCCCTAGCCTCAGTCACCCCCTCATCCATTTACTGGGTCTATGTCGCGACCCCCCTTAGATATACCAGCCCTGACTACTATAATAAAATCTTTTAATTGACGTTCCAAAAATTTTAAATAGTTTGACATCTAAGAGTGACAGCAATGCTGAAAAGAATATTTGTGGTTTGACAGCTGACAAGCATAGATATCTATATAATTTGAATTCACTATATGTGTATAAAATAAGCTTAATAAGAAATGTATTGAATTTTAAAGACATTGTTATTTAAAGTTAAGTTGTACACAGAATGTTCTAAAAATTAATAGGGTTCTAATTTAGAAGACATTACCAAGAAAATCAAAGATCAGAACTTTCGTTCTAGAGTTATCGTGCCGGCATACGTACGCACAGACGACCAGGCGAAAATGTTTTTTTTGCATTTTCGAACTTAGAATTATCGGAAATCTGGAGAAAAGTGTTAAAAAGTGGGATAACAAAATTTTTTCGTCGGCACAAATGTAGGCAATACTAAAGCCCCATGGGTATGAACCTCAGTAATCCAATATGTTAAACCGTAAAAAAAAAATATTTTTGGTGGTAGGGTTGTAGTATATCTGATATCTGACCTACAAATATTTTAATTCTTTTCGATACATCCTGTATATATATCTATTCAAGAATAAATTAAGTACAAATAAAAGTATTGAAAAATAATAAAATGCCAATCACTGTTTTTTCTATTTTTGGACTATCTAAGTAATTTAATAATTTTTCAATAAATTAATCGTTTTGCGATAAAACGACAACGAGTTGCTAAATAATAGTAAAAATAATTTTCATGGCCCGTTCAATTTTGATAAAAAATTCTTATCGTGAAAAATGTATTCGAACTGGTACGTCAATTGGTTTGGTATATAAAGCAAAACTGCTATCTAGAACTTACACTTGTTTGTTGTGGTTTCGTGGTTGTGAACGTTCAGTACCTACGCAAACATATAATGGCACCAACTAAGGACAATCTTAGTGCCGTCTTGTACGGTATCAATGACTTAAGATTAGTGAGTCTATTTTTAATAATTATTCTTATTAACTAAATTATTTAAAAAATGGTGAAGTACTATTACGATTTATCAATAGGAACTATTTTTATAAAAGGGTTATACAAATTCTTATTGTGTGCTGATCAGGAGTAAAATTTACATAAATAATAAAATGCAGACCTTGGACCTTGGCATTCGTTGTTGGGATTTAAAGTCTTTCTAATTTTAATACATTGTGTTTAGATTTTCATTATTTGCAGAAAACATTTTCATAACTGTTTCGTTGCTCTGAATATTAAACGAGATGTTAATAAAACTGGTTCCAATAAAAATACCTATATAATTTCCTGTTTTCTTAAAAAATATTTTACCTACTAGGTACTCGTTTTATTTGCTTCTTATTCCTTTATTCCTTTAAAGATATTACTAACAGGATTAAGTGTTACCAAAAATATCAGTCTCACTTGCTGAATGAGTTACCACCATAGACCATGCCAAAAAATAGTCAATTATTTAATTAGTCATTTTTTATTGTATGTTGTACGTTATACCTAATAGTTTCTATAAAACCAAATTTTACAAAGGAAGGGAATTAATATAAAACAATCGTGTTAAGTGATTTATGCTGCTTAGACTATTTTATGACTTTGCTATCTTACTTTTCAAATAGGTATTCAAAATATTACATGATAGTAGAAAAATGCACGGACCATGCACCTGAAAAAATCTGATGCAAAAGTGATTTTTTTATATAATCATAAATAATAATCCTTTTCCCTTCATATACCTATAGATGTCGAAACTATATCTTATTACAATTAGTTAATAATTAATAGATCTATCCCTATTATACAGGATGTCACTATATTCAGCCGGCAACGCTCTACTCCAATTTTGATATAGAAAGATATTTATTGAAATAGGTAACCCTAATATACAATTTTTTTTTTTGTTACAAAACAACAACTCAAATTCAAAATACAAAATTCAAAATACAAATATCAGAAATCAGGAAAAAAAATTACAATTTATGACTGAACAAATATAAATATATATAAAAGTTTCAAATATAAATGTATAAAATACAAAATACACATATTAATACAATCAAATAGAATTTTTTAAAAGAGATTTGCACATTTAATCTACTTTACACTAATTTCATCAATCATGAACATGTTTTATCATTTTCTTTTTAAAAACTGTTACTGACGAACTAGCTTTAATACCAAACGACAATTTAATGTAATGGTCAAAACATTTAAAAAATAAGGAATTCATTGATGTTCGTTTATTTGTTGATGTGCAAGTTACTGTTATTTCTGGTAGAGTAGTTATAAATATGATTGTTAAAATTAATATAATCTCGAAAATAAGGCGGGGCCAAACTATTTAATATTTTATATACAAACACCATAGTCAAATAGTATGATCTCTGATAAACGGAAATCCATTGCAGTGATCTATGCATGATAGATATAGGAGTATATTTTCTACACCTCAATATAATCCTCATACCACGATTTTGCAGTTTTTGTAAAAAAGGAAGATAACCGATGAAAAATAATCAAAATGTGGTTGAATAATTGAGCGGTAAACTGTAATTTTAGTTTCAGCTGATAGGTTTTCTGATATTCTTGCAAAGAAGTAAAGTTTCTTCGATTTTTTTTTTAAATAAAATTAAAATGTTCACTAAACAATAAAAAATTATCAAGTTGAAAGCCAAGGTATTTAGTAGATGTTACAATATCAATTTTCTCATCGTTAATTGTAAGATTAATTGCATTTAAGTCTATATTGGTATATTTATATTTAGTGGTTATTAACATAGCTTCAGTTTTTAATACGTTAAGTTTAAGTTTATTATACATTAAATAATTATTGGCAGAGTTTAGAGCCCGATTCATTTTTTGTACCGCATTTTCCAAATTATTATCATAACAAGCCATTAAAGAATTATCTGCAAATATATTTATAAAATCACAATCAACAAAGAGGTTTAAATCATTTATATACAAGATAAATAAAAGTGGCCCCAGAACGCTACCTTGGGGTACACCAATGTTAATATCCTTTTCAGCAGATATATTATTATTAACTTTTACTCTTTATTTTCTTCCAAATAAGTAATTAGTAAACCAATTCAAAACACAACCATTAATGCCATATCCAGTAAGTTTCTTTAAGATAATATTGCGATCTATTGTTTCAAATGCTCTTTTTAAGTCTAAAAAAACTGCTACTACATAGTTATTATTGTCTACCTCCGTTTTAAATTTACATAAGGAGAGTTGCAGAGCTGCTCCACAAGAGTGTTTTTTGCGGAATCCAGATTGGTTAATAAATAAAATATAATTGTGTTCAATATGTTGAAGAGTTTGTTCATATACAACTGATTCAAGCCCTTTTTCTATAGGTGGCAACGTATTTATAGGTCGGAATTCCGAAGCATTTATTGTATTACTTACTTTAGGAATTGGAACTATTGTACTTATTTTTAGTGAATCTGGTACTGTGGCAGTCTGAAGAGAAGTATTAATTAGATTTAAGATAACAGGACCACACGTTTCAAATCAAATACTTCTTTCAACATTTTGGAATTAAGGAGTCATAAATAGTACATTTATTGTCCAACGACTTTACAATTACTCTCAATTCACTCAATGACAACAACCGAAAATTTGAAAATTGAGGATATATATTATAGTTACAGAAATTTCCTGCTATCTATAAAAAATATAATAAATTTACTTGCAATTTCAGTAATATTATGTTCGATTTGGCGTTCATTGTTTAAATTAAATTCAATAAAATTTGGAAAATTTTGACTCTTACTATTAATTAACTTTTTAAGTCTTCCTCATTAGTCGAGAATTATTTTTATATCTATCAATTTTATTAAAATAATAAAAGATGAACCCTTAAAGAGTTTAGTTATCGAGATACAAGGTGTTGAAAGTTTGAAATTAAAATTCATAATTTGACATAAATCAAAAACGTATTTAATTTTTTTTTTAAATTTGGTATCCAATGTGCTCTTTATGAAAGTATTATTTTGCTATTATTTTACTAACTTTTGAAAAATTTAACCACTGGGAGCCATCAGGCAACTTTAATTCCCTATTTTTTTACGCCACTGAAACAAATATTTTTTATTTTTTATATTTCCTCTTAATTTTTAGTTAAAAGGGCAATAACGTTTTTTGGAGCTAAAATAAACGATGTAGAAATTTGCTTGTAAACCAAGGTCTAAAGATAATTTGTAACTACTCAACATTTCAAGTAAATTTCTAATAGTTCGTGTATTTACAAGATCTTGGTAGATCAATTTTGAAAAAAATATTTATAAAAGTTTTTGATTTACAAGTTTTGAATTTTGATGTATCTCGGTAACCAGGTTCATATTTCAATATCAGAATTCATCAGGTGTCTAATATAGTGACACCCTGTATATTTTTATTGTATAACCTAGTTACTAACGTAGTTTTTAATATAGCTTTTGGGCTATAAAAATTTAAATTTGTGTGTGTTGTATTTAAATACCTATCTATCTATATATTGTAGTATTTACACATAATCTATTTTATTTTTGAAATTCGAAACGTATTTATTTGACCTCTATATTAACTCAAATTTGAATGATTTTGTTTATAAGTTTTAAACTATATCATTGGTTTTAAACTATTTAGATTGCCATTAAATCCATAAAAATCTTGAGGATTTTGTTTACGCTAATCGATTCCATTTAGAGGTCAAAGGGGGTGTGTCATTTTTAAACAAATCAAATTACAAGGTCAATAAACGACAACGACATCAATTTTTCAGTTTTAATTTTAGATTGATCGCATATGTGGGTTTTTTATCTTTCCGGTTACAGTTTACTTATTTGGCGTACCATTTCATGAAAACAGATGGTTTATACAGGGTGTCCCATAAATCATGCGGATTAAACGAAGTAAGGTGATTGAAGAGGTTATTTCAGAATAACCAAATACAGAGTGTCCCGAAATTAAGCGGTCATATTTTAACAGCGTAATCAACATCCTAAAATAGGAGTGGAATTTGTAGTAAAATAGTAGAATAGACGAAAACAATTTTTGAGAATAATTTTTTTATAGTTGACATTTTGACATATTCTTCACGTTAAAAATCTTAAAATTATAATCAAACACCATTTGTAATTAAAAATAACTAATGATTTCTTTCCTAATGTAAGTTTTTTCTCGATCATTTCTCGAATAAAATTAAATTCTCAATTTTTTATGACTTACGATTTAGCTAAAAGACTATTATTTTTTATGCTCAATACCACAATCCATACAGCAGACGTCCAGCTATTTCAGTATGTTTTACCTAAACTGGCTAATATTTTTTTATATTTAACTAACAAAATTATTCTCGATATCTAGTCAAATATCAAATATCATGACATAATGACAATTTGTTGAAAATTAATGATTAAAAGTACAACTCGAAAAAGGCTCCTTTGGTATCAAGCGGACTGAGGAACCCTTCTCTCGGTAACCAGTTGATTTGATACTAGATTTACTAGAGCAACAGCAAACCATAAATGCAGACGCTGCTAAAATGGGCGCCGTTTAAAAAATTTCCAGGGGGGACAACTCTTATATGCAGGGTCAAAACGCCACAGGCTCTAGTCGAAGACCATGGTAAAAAAATCGAAAATCCCAAATACATGGGGGAGGGGGAGCAGACGCCCTCTTAAGGTGGTGCCCATGGCTGCTTATAGATTGACAAGGATTGTTCATACGACTAATTCATTGTCCGCTAGACAGCGTTGGTACAAAAGCCACAGTATAAGATTTTCAATAATTATTTATGTTATTGATGAAGTTGGATTAAAAAAAAGTCAAGATGTAACCGCTGATTTAGAAGAATACAAAGATTCATTGCAAACATACAGCAAAACGTCAATCCTTTCGCAGTGGATTTAGACACATTTTTGTATAATATTTCAACTGGACAGGCAGCTAAAGAGGAAATTAAAGATTTGTTAT